GCAGTTTGTCCCCGGCCCCAGTTGGGGTTGTGTGGGTGGCAGCCAGTCAATGTGTCTCTCTCACATCAATGTTTCTCTCTCTCTCTTCCTCCCTCTCTCCCTCCTGTTCTATCTGAAGATAAATGCAAAAATGTCCTCGGATGAGGATAAAAAAATTTTTTTTTGGTCTTTTTATGATTAGTTGTAAAAGATTTTTAAAAGCATTCTAGATTTAAGTTCCTCATTGGGTGTATCACGTACATATACAGGCAGACCTCAGAGACATTGAAGGTTTGATTCCAGACCACCCCAATAAAGCGATATCACAGTATAGTGACACACAAGAATTTGGGGCTTTCCCAATGCATATAAAAATTATGTTTACACTATACTATAGTCTATTAAGTGTATAACAGCATTATGTATACACATCTTAATTAAAAAATACTTTATTGCTAAAAAATGATAACCATCATCTGAGCCTGTTGGAAAATGGTGCTGATAGACTTGTTTAACACTGGGTTGCCGCAAACCTTCCATTTGTATAAAAAGCAATGTCTGAAAGTTCAATAAAGAGAAGCACAATGAAACCGGCCCAGTGGCTCAGTGGCTGAGCGTGGACCCCTGCACCAAGAGGTCGCTGGTTCGATTCCCAGTCAGGTCGTGTGCCCAGGTTTTGGGCCTGATCCCCAGTTAGGGGCATGCAGGAGGCGGCCAATCGATGTTTCTATCTCTCTATCTTTCTCTCTTCCTCTCTCTTAAATCAATAAAGAAAAAGGTTTTTTAAAAACCCAACGAAACAAAACAAGGCATGGCGGTAAATATTTTCTCCAGTCTCTGGGAGGTTTTTTCTATTCTTGATGGTATTTGAAGTGCAAAATTTTAATTTTTTAAATTAAATTCAGTTTATCAGGATTTTTTTTTTTTTTTTTTTTTTTTTAGAGTGGAAAGGAGGGAGAGAGAGAGAGAGGAACATGGGTATGAGAGACACATCAATTGGCTGGGAATCAAACCTGTGACCCTTGGGTCCCAGGACCACGGCTGTAACCACCAAGCCAAAGCAGCCAGGGCAATGTACCAGGTTTTTTAAAAAATCATTTGTGCTTTTGATGTACCTAAGATATAATTGCTTAACCCAAGATCACAAAGATTTACTTCTATATTTTGTTCTAAGAGTTTTCTAGCTTTGTCACATTTAGGTCTGTGATCCCATTTGAGCTCATGTTTACCTGTGGTGTGTGGTGAGGGACCCTGCTTCTGACTGAACAAACTTTAGTCCATTTGCAAATGTTTCTTCAAATTCAAATTAGACTGCTTACTCTTCTCTAAGGGGATCTTCCTCTATACTTTTGTTTGGGCCTGATAAATACATTCTCTTTTTGCTTTTCAAGATTTATCTCCCTACTAAATCCAGCCATGAGTCCACTCGACAAAGCTTTCCCTAATCCTCCGGTCTCTGATCCATCTCTCCTTTCTGAGTATCTTCTAAATACTAGTTAGTCTGGTAAAACCTTTCCTCTCTCTTTTTCTTTATTTTTTTCCCCTATTGTCACTAGCATAAACATCAACTCTTTTACATCATTCTTCCCCCCTCCCTCCCCCTTATTCTGGAGGAGGAACTGCAACCGAGGTTTGTGCGGGACTGAACCCGGGTCTCTCTGGTCCACGGCCGACGCTCTAACCACTGAGCCAAACCGGCCAGGGCTTTTACATCATTCTTTACTTGCTTGATTATCCCCCCTCCTGGAGTGACACCTCCTTAGAGCAGGACCTGTGACCTTATCATTTCTCTTCTAGGATTTAGCACAGCGTCTTTCATAGAATAAATAGACAAATGTTTATTTATCTATTATTATTGTGTCTCAAGGAACCAGTGGATTCACTGATTTGCATTTATGTGAAATACTCATTCGTGTATAAAACAGAGATATGAAAACTAAATATCTGTAAACATGATCTTGAGTGCATTTAGAAGCTGGATATATAAAACTTATGCTGAAGGTTTTTGTAAAGTGAAATTTTTTAAAAATATGTTTTTATTGATTTTTGAGAGAGAGGGGGAGAGAGATAGAAACCCCAATGTGAGAAACATCAATCGGCCGCCTCCTGCACGCCCCCTAATGGGGATCAAGCCCGCAACCTGGCCATGTGTCTTGACTCAAAATCTAACCGGGACCTCTCAGGCCATGTGGTGACGCTCAATCCACTGCGCCACACTGGCCAGGGTGACGTGAAGCTTTTTAAAATATAACTATCATTATTATATATGATTACATATAATTTACAAATTTGATGCTTACTGCTTAGTAGTCTGTTTTAGCTGTGCGGATTCTGCCTGTTGTCCTGCTGTCCTGGAGAATTTTCTGAAGGCTAAAGAAACTTGCAGCCAACTCGTAGGCTTCTGGACTTTGAGGGACAGGCAGGGCGGTGCACTCCGGACGCTGGGGGCGTGGGCAGTTGTCAACAAAAAGTCTGACCTGTACGTGAGTCACAGCTCCGCACATCCTGGGGACCCTAACCAGCACCTTTACTGGGCCCGGGCTTCCTCGTTTGAAACTGGGGCTGATGGCAGTGCCCAGGGCTCCGGAGCGAGGAGGGCACTGCAAAGCACGTGCGGGGTGCGAGCACTGCCAGCCCGGTCACCCCGCAGCATGGTTTCGTCCAACCCGCAGACGCCCTGCTCCGCTTCTCACGCTTCACCGCCTCTTTACAGCCCCAGCGGCGCCAGGGCTTCTGCTATGAGACACTTACAGACACCAGAATACATTTTTCTCTAAAGATGGGAGCTGTCTGAATTATCCATGCTAGATTTGATGCACTATCTTATTCCACACTCACAGGACCACTTAAGAAATCAATAATCATTATAATAGCAGAGTAGGACAAATGTCTCCTGCCACATTGAAAAGCCCCCTGGTTTTCTCTGGGTCCTCACTGAGATAACCCAGCCAGGTGGAAGATGAAGGAAGGCCTGTGCCTTCTTGGGGATGGCAATCACACTCAGAGCCAAGATCCTGGGCAACCGTTCAGCATCTGATTGACCTGGGTATTGATCAACTGTCCTTATCAGAACACCAGACTTTTGAGTCCTGAGTTGGAACTAAGTTTCAGCTAAAGTGAGGCAAGATGTCTCTATCTGCTTTGGCTTTTCATGAGGTTGTTTAAAAGATTAAACAGTTGCTACTTTGCCTCTAAGAAAAATTAATTTCCAGTCCCTTGGCACTGTGTTTGTTTAATACTCTTTAGAGGAATCAATAATTTCCTTGCCTTTATTGCCTTTAGTAAAAAACGTCCTTCGCTGGAAATGTTCTCTTCTGTTTCCTTTCAAATTCACGGACATTCTGCACTCTCTGTGAGCAAACCTGCAGGGCCCTGGCCTGTCCTGGTTTTTCCTCCCTGGAAACATATTTCTACTGTGATCAAGGTCATTGCCTGTGCTGTGCAATCAACGCCCTGCCCCTGACGTCCAGGTGTGGTGCCTGGAGGGCCTCTCCCACCCTTAGGAAGTAAGAGTGTGTACAGATTCCTCAACACAGCAGGTGTCTTCAAAATCAGATCCGCCTATGTTTCTAGCTCAGCTTCGCCTGCCTCAGTCTGTGCTGCCTTTTCATCCTGCCCCTTACTCTACTTGGAATGTCCTTCCCAGGTGCCACTCCTCTTTGGAGATCCAGCCCACACGTGACCACCACGAGGAAGCCTCCCGACCCTCAGCCAGAGCCCCTCTGCTCCCCAAACTACAGACCACAGCCCTCACCGTATGGAGCAATGCTCCTCAAACTGGGAGGTTCTTGTTAAAATGCTGGTTCTGGTTCTGGAGCATTTCCAACAAAACCCAGGTGAGTGTGACGCTGGTGGTCCATGGCGACACACTGAATGATCAGAACACGGAGTGCTCAGCACGAGGTTTTGTTCTTGTATGTGTGCAAGTGTGCGTGCGTGCGTGTGCATGTGTGTGTGCGAGAGCGCGTGCATGCGTGTGCGCGCGTATGATGTGTGTGCGAGTGCGCGTGTGTGAGTGCGCGCGTGTGCATGTGTGTGCGAGTGCACGTGTGTGCGCGTGTGCGTGTGTGTGTGAGTCTCCTCCTGCTCTAGCAGAAGAGCCACTGGCTGTTCCACCTCCGATGCCCAGCACCGAGGGCAGAGCCAACAGCACAGGTCCAACATCTGCTGAATGCGGACCCCCCCCCCTCACCTTGCTAACGCCCGCTCCCTCCCCCACCTCACGGCGCTTATAGATGTTCACGCCACTGTCTTTTCTTCGTCTTCATGGGAGGCCTGTCATTTTGGGTGTTCACTTTACTTCTAGGCAAACAAAGGCTGCTGGTTGCCTTTTCGCCCAGGAAACAGACCCGGAGAGAAGCCTCCCTGGTCGGCAGGTCATGAAGGGGAGAGCCCGGGGCTTTCTCTGGGGCCTTCGGACCGGCCCTCCTGCGGTCTCAGTCCCTGCTCCTCGGGCGGGGCCCAGACCGGGGCGGGGCTTGATGTCACCCTCAGGAGATTCCAGCCCAAGTGCAGCCCAGTGTTAGATGTGCTTTGAGGGTGGTGGAAGAAGGGTACCGGCTGTGAAAGGATGAGTGGCCGTCGTCTACCCCGTCCCAGGACACTCGTGGCTTCTCTGCATGACAAGGACTCGAGAGTTAAAGGGTCTGGCGTCCTCACCCCGGGTCACGTCCCAAGCCATTCTTTTCCTTCTCTCTGGCTTGTCTTTGTTTTGTTTGTGTGTATTTATCGATGTCTCAGAGAGAGAGGAGGAGGAGGGAAATAGGAACACCGATGTGAGACAAAAACATCCATCAGCTGCCTCCTGCACGCCCCCTACTGGGGATTGAGCGCAAACCCGGCACGTGCCCTGACCCGGAATCCAACCAGGACCTCTCGGTCCCTGGGAGGACGCTCAATCCACTGAGCCACGCTGGCCGGGCTGGCTTGTCTTTTTAAAAAATTGCACAGCTTTGTAGTCTGATATATACAACTGGTACAAAGGCAAAACTAAATTATATCATGAAAAGATACAAGATGCGACCCCCTGACATCGGGCAAGGAGACACCTGATTGGTGGGGTTGGTCTTGTATCAGTCAGGGGCAGAGCAAATGCACAGTCCTTGTCCATCCTAGCTTGATGCCTGTGTTGGTGGCCAGAGCTGCGTGCCTTAGGCACATAAAATTATAATTCCTGGACGATCAGAAACACTGGTCTCATAAGTAGATTACTAACTGAGGTTTGGGAGGTGTGGTTTAAAATATTTTGTGGGGGTGTTGTGATTACTCTGTGGTAATGTAAGTAGTTCTACTACAACTCCATTCTAGGCCCCTCAGGTCTAGAACACGCTTTTTTAAAAAAAAAAATTTTTTTTCTTTATTGATTTTTAGAGAGAGAGGAAGGGAGAGAGAGAGAGAAAGAGAGAGAGATAGAAACATTGATGAGAGAGAACATCAATTGGCCACCTCCTGCATGCCCCTCACTAGGGATCAGGCCCACAACTTGGGCATGTGCCCTGATCGGGAATCGAACCGGCAACCTCTTGGTGCATGGGTCGTCGCTCAACCACTGAGCCACACTGGCCAGGCTTTTTAAGAGTGAACATATCACCTAACAGTTTTGGTGGCAGCTGTGCCATGCGACATGGATATGTGTCATTCCACCCGTAACACTGGATGCTATGAGGTGGATGTAAGTGGGCCACGACTGGACTTCAGAACGTTCGTGTGGGGTCTGGTATGGTCAGCCATATTGCAATTATTTCAAGAGCAGTTATTGTGAGTCATATGTTCTCAGGAACCAGAATGTGTTTGAAAAGTGTTTCCATGATAGTGCATATCTGAGTTGAGGGGAGACGAACCATGAGAAGCACTTAAAATGGGGCCTGGTACAGGTGTGGCTAATATATGAGCACTTATCTTTTTCTGGGTTCAGAATAAAAAAAAGATACAAGATGCGTGTATGAATTGCAGTGAGCATTTGAGATGATGCATTTCTGTACCACTTAAAAATACTAAGCAGCCCTGGCCAATTTGGCTCAGCTGTTAGAGCACCGGCCCGTGGACCAAAGAGTCACCAAAGATTCTCAGGGTCCATTCTGGTCAAGGGCATGTACCTTGGTTGCAGTTTGGTCTCGGGTCTTGGTGGGGTCGTGCAGGAGGCAACCAATCAATGTGTCTCTTTCACATTGATGTTTCTCTCTGTCTCTCTCTCTCTCCCCTCCCACTCTATCTGAAGATTAATGGAAAATATCCTCAGGTGAGGATTAAAAAAAAAAAATACTAAGCAGCCACAGGATGTCCCCACCTGGAAAGCCTGCAGAGATCATCTGGTCTAAATCTGTTTTCAGTTCGGACTTAGTGCAGAGAAACCAGGTGGAGAGAACATCCCGTCCAGGACCAGAAACCTGATGGTAAAGACGAGCCCCCACCACATGCTTCCTGAGTCCAGGAGACTCGGAGTCCCCTCTGGGCCTCTGCAAGCTAATTTTCCTTTTTTAGGTTCCAGGTATATTTGTATTTACTCAAAATTTCTATTCTTCTTTCTCTTGACTCACATCATGCCAGCTTGAACCTCTTCTCAGGCCCTGGACCCTGCACTTTCCATCAGACATGACTCATCCCGCTGGGCTGGAATTTCCTGTTTACTTCTCTGACTCAGCACGGACTGTGGGCCTTTTGAGGGCAGGGATTATGCCATGGTCGCTGTCCCCGGCACAGTGTCTGGCACACAGACAGCTCCAGTAAAATGAGAATCTGCTTGCAGGAAAAGGAGAGGCTTGGCAATCAGGGAGTCACTGGCTAATGTCTGCTTGCAGGCTTAGCCCAGCCTTTTGGAGAAGGGTGCTCTTAGGCTGTGGCCTAGCAACTGGTGTATCATTAAGCCCCGTCTTCCCTGCTCTGGTCTCTTCCAACATGACTCAGCATTTTGTACATTGGTGTTAGTGCTCTTATTCTGAGAAATACCAAAGAAAACCATAATTCATCAAAGCAAATGCCAGCACACATCTGCCAGTCATTCGTAGAAGAACTGATCAGATTTTAGTGACCCAAAATTGTATCTTTATAAGACTGCTGCACACCTTTATCCCGCTCCTGAGGCATGCCAAAGGCTTCACAGTGGCTGTCATGTCCCCAGTTTGCACTCTGGTGATTGAAACTTGACCAGGGCGACTCAGTGGCAGATCTGGGGTTTCAATTTAAGTCTTCAGTCTTCTCCTTTCGTCGTGGCTTTTCTCCTATGATAAAGAAACAAGGTGCTGATTAATTGTAAAGAAATGGGTTTTCAGCAGGTTGGAGGCAATAAGTTCAGGATTCTCTTAACCACCACAGAATTAAGAGCACAGCTCCTCAGCCTCTCCAGAGACGTATTTCTCCCCATGCCCTCACCAAGGGGATTGTCCGGTTCCACGGGCCCCTTTCTCTGAGCCAGGGTCTGCTTGATGATAAGAGCCAATGGAGAAGAAATATAGCTAGCCATAAATGCTCAGAAATGACAGAAACTTTGAAAATGTATTTACTGAAAATTCGACGCAAACCTTCCTAAGAAGACATGTCCATGAACCACACACAAGCAAGACCCTCATATTTCATATTCCTCCAATCTTCCAGGAAAGTCACAGTAGGAAACACTCCCCAACGCCTCTGGGTAGAAAAATAATTTCATTCTGGAAAGAAGAAAAGGAGACATATTCTCGAAGATTGGAATTCTTGAACATAATAGTCAATTTTTCTGACGGCAAAGGACTGAAGTGTTCTTGGTGCTACAGAGAGCATTTCTTCCCAAATGTAATGTGCACATCTCTTGGGGATGCTGTCTGACTACGGATTCTGATTCCGTGGGTCTGGGACGGGGCCTGCTGACATGCCCCAGGTGATGCTGATGCTTCTAGTTTATAGACCCCAAGCAGAGGAGTGAGAAGAGGGATGAGGGGGAGCCCAGTTCCTAGGAGATGTGAGCACTTGTGCTTCTGCTTCTCTGAGCTAAAAACATAGAGCCTAGTCCCTAAAGTTTTCTTAGAGGTCAGCAGAGAGGTCACAGTGTGAATAAAGACAGATATCTCCTTCCCTCTCCTGGGTGAACTACTGAGAATATATTGCAAACTCTTTTTTTTTTTTTTGCTGGAGTTTAAAAATGAGAAAACGTCTCCATCTGATGTTTCAATAGTTCAGTTTTTCCTTATGAAATAAATCGAAACCCAACCAAAACTGGCACTGATTACTCCCTAAGGCTGTCATCTCTGGCTCCATGTATGGCAGACGATCCCAATCTTATGAACTAACCTTGACCCACTAAAGCTCATCAGGTTACTGTAGTCCCCCACGCCCCAATTTATTTATTTATTTTTATTAATTTATTTTTGTTACAGAAGTTTCTTCTTTCCCCCCCTAGACACCCACCTCCCCCGTAGCCCCCTCCCCAGCATTGTTGTCTATGTCCATTGGTTATGCAAATATGCATATAAGTTCTTTGGTTCATTTCATCCATATGCCTGCCCCCCTCCTCTGAGGTTTCTTAGTCTGCTTTCTATGTCTCTGGCTCTATTTCACTCATCAGCCCACTTTGTTCATTATATTTCACAAATAAGTGAGATCATGTGGTATTTGTCTGTCTCTGATTGGCTTTTTTTCGCTTAGCATAATACTCTCCAGGTCCCTCCATATCATCTCAAAGGATAAGAGATCTTTCTTACAGCCGCATAGTGTTCTATTGTGTATATGTACCTCTGCTTTTTATCCACTCATCTATTGCTGGACACTTGAGCTGTTTCCAGATCTTACCTATTGTAAATAGTGCTGCTATGAACATAAATGCTTACATTCTTTCTGATTGGTGTTTCAGGCTTCTCAGGATATATTTCTAGAAGTGGGATCACTGATGGCAGATTCTAGATGGCAGATCCATTTTTAATTTTTTGAGGTAACACCATATTGTTTTCCACCGTGGCTGCACCAGTCTGCATTCCCACCAGCAGTGCACTAGAGTCCCCTTTTCTCCACACCCTCACAGGCACTTGCTCTTTGGTGACTTGGTGATGGTGGCCATTCTGACAGGTATGAGGTGATACCTCATAGTTGTTCTCATTTGCATCTCTCTGATGATTAGTGATGTTGAGCATTTCTTCATATGTCTCTTGGCCATTCGTATGTCCTATTTGGAGAGGTGTTTATTTAGGTCCTCTGCCCATTTTTTAATTGGGTTCTTTGTCTTGCTTTTGCTGAGTTGTATGAGAACTCTATATATTTTGGAAATTAACCCCTTATCTGATGCATCATTAGCAATTATGGTCTCCCATATAGTGGGATCCCTTTGCGTTTTGATGGTTGTTTCTTTTACTGTGCAGAAGCTTTTTAGTTTGATGTAGTCCCATGTGTTCATTTTTTTCCTTTGTTTCTGTTGCCTTAGGTGTTGTATCAGTGAAAATTCTGCTGCGTATAATGTCTGAGATTCTGTTGCCTACATTTTCTTCTAGAATTTTTATGGATTCACGAGTTGCTTTTAAGTCCTTTATCCATTTTGAGTTTATTCTTGTGTATGGTGTAAGGTGGTGTTCTAGCTTCATTTTTTTGTAGGTAGCTGTCCAATTTTTTCAACACCATTTATTGAAGAGACTGTCTTGACTCCACTGTATGCTCTTGCCACCTTTGTCAAATATTTCTTTCTTTCTTTTTTTTTATTTTGGTACGTGCCCCTAGTGGGAACCAAACCCGGGACTCTCTGGTCCGCAGGCCAACGCTTCAACTGCTGAGCCAAACCGGCCAGGGCCACCTTTGTCAAATATTAATTAAGCATATTGTCTTGGGACAATTTCTGGGTTCTCTATCCTGTTCCATTGATCTATCTGCCTGTTCTTGTGCCAGTACCAGGCTGTTTTGATTACAGTAGCTTTGTAGTATAACCTGAAATCTGGTAATGTTTTTGTTTTTCTTTTTCAAGATTGCTGTGACTATTTGTGGTCTTTTTTGGTTCCATATGAACATTCGAAGTATTTGTTCTAGTTCTGTGAAGTATATCATTGGTATTTTGATGGGGATTGCATTGAATCTATAGATTGCTTTGGGTAGTATGGACATTTTAATGATGTTAATTCTTCCAATCCAGAACAAGGTATGTGCTTTCACTTTTTTATATCTTCCTCTATTTCTTTTTTTAATGACCTGTAGTTTTCTGTGAAGAGGTCCT